GAGAGGGGGGAGAGGGGGGAGAGGGAGGAGAGAGAGGGACCTCCATCCCACTACATCGGAGGGTGTTTCAGGCTCCCTTGAGCCACTAGAAAAGCACCGAACCATCCACCAGCCACCACTGCATCCCCACAAAAGAGACACCGTTCGCACATCCAACGCCAATCCCCCAGCCACGCACCGCCGCCCTCTTAAACCCAGCACACCACCCTCCACCCCCTGCCCATTCCTCACCATGACCCTCACCCAGCAAAACCCTATGCCTTTCTTCGAGCAAGTCGCCCCCTCCATCCCCAGACCACTCCTCTGACGCCGTTCTAGAGGAAACAAACACTACACCCTGCCCGATGCCGAACAGGGCACTAATGCGGCGTGAGCAAGCGCCCAAACAAAACCACCAGCTCTGACTCTGGCCGTAGTCTCACCAAGTCGCCGTTCGTCCTCAGTCGGTGCTACCTTCACCTAGTCGAAAAGCCGGAAGAGAACAGGACCGTTCTCCTCGCAAAGATCCAAGAGGTGGTACGTCTTCTTTGCCCGTTTCTCGTGCCCCGATGCTTATCCCTCTTGCCGCCCGTAGAAAGACTCTCTTCTGTTGCTTGGCGAGTATGATCAACAGCAGTCGTCAGCCGACATTGTGTATCTGCAAGCGATCCTGGATGGTGCAAAACCCAACATAGCGCAGATACTCGCGACCACGGCATACGGCACGATGGGCCATTAGAAGGGCGGCTCAAGGAGTGAGCATACATGTACGCTGCAAGAAGTATACCATTGGCGAAGAGTGGTCCCATGTCGGAATCATACCTAGCATCTCCCATGCACATTCATGACAAGACTTTGAGGATATGCAGAGTACATTCAAACACTTGTGAAACATGAGCTCCCAGCTACCGCCACAGGACGTATAGACTCACAATTCTCTACTTTCCCGGCCTCTGCCAGTCATAGTTCCATCCCTTCCCTCTGCTCTCCACGGGCACCCAGCTTTCTCTCGGGACCAGCCCTTCCACCCTGGTCTCTAACCACTTTTGCTCCGCCGTCTTCTTGCCCTTTGGCTGCTCGCCCCTCCTCTTGGCCTGCGTCAATTGGGCGACAGCCAGGTCATACACCAGTCGGTGATAAAGCCCTCCCTTTGCGTCCTCTCCTTCAGACCTCGTTATCCTCTCCAGCTCGTCACAGGCCTCCACCATGCTCTCGTACTTGGCTTTCAGCTGCACTTTGCGCTCTTCACGCTGCTCGCGTTGATACAGCTGCCAAGCGCGCTCGATCGTCTCGTATGCCTCGGCAGAGGGAATGACGGTGCGTAAACGCTCAAGGTGGTCGGGATGGTAGGCGCCTACGGGAGAAGAGGAGGTGGGGGCGTAGGAATCGGGAGGGTAAAGCATCTGCTTGAGCATGTCTGAGCGAGAGTCGGAGGGGTGGACGAGGTTGGGGTTGCCGCCAGCAGGGGCGGCGTAGGCCCGTCTAAGGAGAGGGCGGGATAGTGCGGCTAGGGGCCGGAGAGGGGCAGACATGGCGGTGGCGGTGGGGGATGGTCCTGCTGCTTGCCTCTAGCTTTTCCTCGAAATCGTCAAAAGAACGAAACATCAATGCGGCCATCTCCGCTACCACTGCGTACGTAAGCACCAAGCCTCCACCACCATCGTGCCCATCGTGCGGTCGTGCCTGCTGCCACGTTTCAAGTGCGAAAAGCCTATTGTTCTCGCGTTCAGTTCAAGTTCAGTTCATTTCCTATTGTTCTCTTGCCCGTCCCGGCCTCTGCTCGCCGAAATGGCCGGCGTCATTGTCTTCTCGTCAGGGTATCCACTCATAGGGTCCCTTACCCCTTTGTATCACCTTCGCGCTCTCTACTGTGCGACGTTCGATCTCGAGGATGAAGGCGCTTACCACACATATGACATGACAGACTCTCAAACAAGGCACATCCGCTTTCCAATTGTTCTCTGAGAGCTGCTCCCTTGCGATCAACATTCCCCTGTCACAGATCGTTCCTGCTGTACAACTTGTTGTCCTCGGAACTCGGTGATGATGACATCCGCCAAGCTATTGTCTCTCCAAAGATTCCCATTTCAGCGTTTCATGCCCTGAGGGTCCGAACCGTGTGCATTGATCCGCCAGTTACCAGACTACGACTGACAACAAAAGACTTTTGTATTTCACAGCACAGGAATGGCCTTTTGACCGACGGGTGGCTCAGGAATATAAGACAAGATCAATTGAAGTTGTCTCTCTTTCCTCTCATCTGATTCTGTTCAAACCAACTTGTGCTGTCTTACTTTACACGACGCAACCTCAACCTTGATAGTATCTGCCAGCCTTTGAACAGGGTCACCAGGGTAATCAAATAAATCACAAGTAAGTCCTGGCTCAGCCACTTCATTTACGCAAGATTACTTACCTTGGCGTGACAGCTACCGTCCTCTCCCCGCATATCTTTCGCCCCTATCGCATTGCTACCTGCATTTGTATCCATCTCGACTCACCTTCACCTCCACTCTGGTGTCTCGTCATCATGGCCAGCACGACATATAACGGCCCATTCCTCCCTCCCATCCATACCTCATTCACCCCACTCTTATCCTCTCCTACCGATCTCATCACCTCACAAGAGCTTCACAGCGCTCTCGACCGCAACCTCTCTGACAGCTTTGAAAGCTTGCACGATCTCTATCAAGTCAACGAAGAAGAGGCTGAAGAGGATTGGACTGAAGAGAGTGACCAGATTCAAGTGTACAGAGATACAAAGCCGCTGCGTGTCAGGAAGAAAAAGGGTCGTTCCACCAAAGTCATATACGTTGCCAGTGAGTCTTTTACATCCGTCACTGTTGAGATTGCGCTGACAGCATGCCCAGACCGCCGTCGTTCGACCATAGTCTCGGTTCCTCGCTCCCCTCTGTCACCAAAGTCGCCAGTGTCACCCCGCTCCCCTACCTCCTTCGACAGCGACTCTGCCCACGCACACATCTCGAAAATCTTCCCGTCTCTTCCCGAGCCATCACCCACCATGGCTGTTCCTTTGGTATACCAGCCCAACCGGCTCGCACCTGTCACTTCTACGGACAGACAAGGCAATCGGTCTTCGGGGTCCTCTCTTCATCTCGGCTTGGGCGGTTCATCCAGCTACGACCCTATCTGTCCCGGCCCATCCCCTCCCTCGTCGCCGATTCCATCCCCCAACAAGCGCCACTTTACGTCTCCAACCATGTACGAGTCTTCTGAGCGTCCACGCAAGCCTCTTCCTGCCGTCCCGTCTTCCCCCATCACCCCTTCGCGAGCTCCCCGCAAGGCTGCCAAGCTCCTCGGGGTAGACCTTCCTCCCGTGATGGAGCAGGAGAAGAAGAAGAATTATGCGGCGTCCGCGCTCAAGGCTGGCAGGCACTTTCGTCCTCTGCCGAATGTGGCTTTGGCCGAGATTGAAAAATTCTTTGGGGAGGTGCCAAAGAAGGCTTCAAAGTCTCACCCGGGTCTCAAAACGGGCAAGAAGGCGAGCAACTCCTTTTATAAGGGCAACTCTGCGCACGGTGTTCCGGAAGCTTGTGACCGAAACATCGGAGAGGGACAGACAGTCGATCACAGGGGCGAAGACGGCTCAATGTGGCTTGATGTAGAGGAGGAGCAAGAGTTTGCGTGGCTTATGAGCGAAGCTATCGCTGCTGTCCCTGCACCCTTGCCTAGTGTGGATGATTTGTCCGAGTCTATCGGCGGAACTTTTCCCGTGAAGAGAAGGGACAGGTGCATCGACGACATGAGTACTCTGTGTGGGAGCGACGAGGAGGAGGACAGCGGCAAATGGGGCATGGAAGCTTTTACTTCTATCCTTTCCGTGCCCAAGCCCAAAGCTAGCAGAGCTTCACCCTCTTCCTCTCCCTCTCCCAGTAAATCCCGACCAAAGCCTCTCCCCCTTGTCCGTCGGGCCAACAAGAGTAACCCCGACTCCTCTTTCATGGAGATTGAGACTCCCAAGCGTCTCGACTTTTCTTTCGACATTTCTCCTGCCAGAGACTTGATCAGCTTTTTCGAACCGGTCACTCCGGTGGAACGAATGGGGCCCATGTATGGTGGGGGAGCTGGGCCGGGCGCTGCGGCGGGGACAAAAGGAAAAGGGTGGTTGAAGAGGGCCATGAAGCCTTTGAGGTCGCAGAGTAGAGAGGCTGGACCTCGCGTATATGTCTAGTGTCGTGCAATGGTGTGCATAGTCTCCTGATATACAGTAAAATGGTGCTCTATGTATGCACAGATCATATCGACTTGGGGACCGATCGCGACAAGCAGAAAAGTTAAGTCTCTTTGGGCTTTCTACTCTTCTTCTTTCTGACCACCTTGACCGCCACATCTTCGACCGGCTTGGGCGCCTTCTCCCCAGCCAGGTTCACTTCCTCAACCTTTCCATTCTGTTGCCCGGCTTCATTGACCGCGACTAGTTCATCCTTGAGCTCGCTCCCGACTCCCATCCCGTTATCCTCGTCCGCCTTATGCTTCCCATCGAGATCGATAACCCTTCTCTTCCCCTTCTTCTTGCCCTTGCCACTCTTCGCGCTCGGCGACTCGGAGGCCGTACTGGACTCGCGGAGATGGGAGGCGTGACTATGGAAGGCAGAAGGTGGTGGTTGAGGAGACCTTTGACGCGATGGGCCAGGTTCGGGTGAACGAGAGCCTTCGCCAGTAGGAGAGAAAGAGACAGAAGCCCTGTTCCTGATGACCTTTGACTTTTGGCGAGAGATGGTTTGATCATGCGTGGCTGCACGGCCGTGACCTTTGCGAGGCTCAGACGTCGGCTCTGCATTGTGAGGGACGTGGCTGTCGGAGAGACCTCTTCCATGAACAGCAGCACCTCGAGCCTCGGCAGACCCCGAGCGCTTCAAGACGCTTGCTTCGATCCTTCTCTCTTCACTCCAGCTCCAGGGTGTCCCATCAAACATTATAGCATCTCGTCCCTCTTCTCGGAAGCGTCTGCCCAGATCGACTCGCCACGTCTCGAGCCCCTCGGATAATATGGCGGGATCTGGACTCTCGGTAAACGGGTTGGGAGAACAGTGCACCTCGCGCAGGTAGGGCAGAGCCGCAAGTCGGGAAAGCTCGAGAGCATCGTGGATCTCATTGTCCCGGATATCCACGCGCTCGAGGCCCAATATGCGATCCAGTCCAACAAGGCAGTCTATGCGATTGCTGGACAGGTTCAGGGAAGTGACGTTGCCCAGGCAGCTGGAGGCGCCGCGAAGAGATGTAATGTAGTTGTGGGAGAGATTGAGCGATCTCAGATTGCTGAGTGCTGCCAGGGATGCTGGAACCGAGTCCAAGAGGTTGTGGGAAAGATCGAGGTGGGTCAAAGAGTCGAGTGGGAGGGGAGGAAATGCCAGGAGTGACGTCTGTATGAGGGACAGATGGCGCAGGTTGGGGAATTTGGCCTGTGATTCTCCGTCCCCAGATACAAGGAGATCTGCTATCCAGTCGTCTCCGTCTTGAACATCCCTGACAGTGAGGCTGCGTAGCCCCAAGTTTGACGGTATCTGTAGTGCTCTGGGGTCGTAAGATTCCAGTTCCAGACTAGCGATAGAGTCAGCTGATGCCGAGTATGACAATGATGGTACAAACATTTGGAGATTCCGCAAAACATCCAGCGGGACCCTGACGTCTATTCCTCCCAGGGGAGTATACCCACCAACTTCAACGAGCTCTGCTATCGGGGCCTCGTGCGAGTTTGGGGGGTGGATTAGCAGGGCCGGTATCAGAGTGAACATTGAATAGAGTGCGAGCAGTAATTCGTCTGGCAGAGGTCAGCATTGCTAGGGCCATTGCAGGTGCACATACCCTCACTGATCACTTTCTTTCTTCCAAACCATCCACCGTCTCGCCCCCCTACGTTCGCCAGGCTTCCGCTGACACTCCTCATGCTTCCGACCCAGCTCCTTACACTGCGCACGTCTCCCTCGGCCCTCCTACCGGAAGACCCCATCTCTCCCCGTGCGGCGATGACCACCCCTTCTTCTATTGGGGTGTCTGTCCTGCCGACATGAGGCAGCGACTGAGGGAGGGATTGCCACCTTAGCAGGAGATATAGAAGGCGGTCTGGGGGCAACCGCAGTAGCAGTGGTTTGGGCGTTCTTCCTGCCTGTCCTGATCTGCCATTTCCGAGTCCCAGTGTGGGTTTGGCAGCCAGGGGAGCCGAGGACGGGTCGAGGCCGAGAGTCAGGAGGGTGTATCCCTGCTGCCAGAGGGATGGGGCGGTGGCTGTGGGTGGGGCCCTGGGTGCGAGGCGGGGGGCGTTTGCGGTGAGGAACTTGTGGAGCTTTGCGATGTATGCTGCGCCTGGGACGGGGGCGGGGAGGTCCGCCGCGTAGAGAGACATGGCGAGATGCAGAAGAGAGAGATCCCGGCAGCGCAATAGCCCCCCGGCGGAGACGCCCGCCGCATCCGGAAGGTGTTGATGTGTGGGCAGTTGAGACGCGTGCCGGTGCCTGTGCCTTGTTTCATCGATTGCCATCAAGTTGCTATTGTCTTGCTATTGTGATTATTCTATTGTCCCAGTCCGTATAAACGATGGAGCATGCATCTCTCCTTCCTCCCATCTGTCCACCATGCAAGTCCTCACTTATGCCACCACCGCAGCCTTTGCCATGTCCGCCACAAGTGAGTCCCAACCTCTGCTCACACCATCATGCTGACCAGCCTAGGTGTATGGGCAAAGACCCAACTATGTTCAGCAGACGCATGCCTCGCAGGGGTGGCCACCTCTCCTCGTAGGTTTACCAGAAGCGCCCCTTGACCCCAGGCTGACACCTACAAGTTCTTGCCTACGACGAATCATCATCAACCTACCTTCTTCCTGGTGAAGACTACCCTGCCTCATCCTACTCTCCTTCGACCCCTCTCAACAGCACCATCAGCACTGAATCCTCATCCATCAGCATATCAACCCCATCAGCTCCCGTAGGATTCACCTCACCTTCCTACTCGTCTTCTGGAGACGTATGGTCGGGCAACGACTGGGCTTTGAAAGACTGGAAGAGTGTATATCTACCTGATGGCTGGTACGCCGACCTGGGCAATGGTCAGGTCCTTTGGGGAGCGATCCCGGAAAGGAGTCTCCTTCCCAGCAGCGCCAGAGGTCTCGGGATCTCTGGTGCTGGTAACTGTAAGTGTGTACTGAACAAGACTGGGCAAGCTAATCCACGATTCAGCTCAATGCGACCCTGGATGCTCCTCTCATGGTACTTGTACTCTCACAAACACCACAGTGAGCTGCTCCTGTGACGAGGGATGGACTGGGTCAACGTGTAACGAATGCTCCTCGGGATACTATGGCACTTTGTGTCAAGGTGAGTGTGAACAAGTCGAGTCGAGAGACCTACCGCTAACAAGCCACCAGCTTGTCCATCCAATTGCATCGTCTGCGACGACGGGTATACCGGTACTGGACAGTGCATCGGGACGGCCTCGTCATCTCTGGAAAGTGAGTGTCTTGTCCAGCATCATTTGACACCCACTGATGTACATTAGCATGCGATTGCGTTCATGGAACCTGCACATCAGACCAAGAATGCATCTGCTCGGCTGGCTGGGTAACCAATTCGACAGTATCGGCATCCAATTGCAACACGTGTGCAGAGGGCTTCTTCCAGGACGCTTTTGGTGACTGCCTAGGTGAACGAATCCTCTAGTCTGGCAAACATACATAAGCTGACTTTCCCACTAGCCTGCCCCCTTGGCTGCACAGGTTGTACTTTGCAGAGTAGTACCAATTCTACCGCCTCCTGTACCTCTTGCAGCTCCACGCTATCCCTATCCACTGCTGTCCCCGCTACCTGTACAACCTCGACCGGCTCTTGCTCGGACGGGACCTATTACGATTCTTCAACCAGTTCTTGTGAAAGGTAGGTCTCGCAGATATGTGTGGGACCGATACTTACCCGTCACAGCTGCTCGCCAGCATGCTCGACCTGTACAGGTCCTTCAACATCCGATTGCCTTGCCTGCGCATCTCCCAGAGTCCACCTTCAAGGATCATGTGTGGGATACGACGCATCTACTGGTGTCTGCGATTCGGCCTTGACTCAGCTGGATGGTATGTTTGTGGTCAACAACGCAAAATCGGAATGTGACTGTGGGTAGCCTTGTATATTGGTCGGCGCTAGCTGATCCAAATCAGCTTGCCCTGTCGGGTGTGCTTCGTGCAAGATACCTAGCTTTTCCTCTGCTGCCAGTTATGACACTCTGACTTGTCAATCTTGCAACGAAGGCTACTTGCTCGAGGACGGCAAATGTGTCAAGACTTGTACGGGAGGCTATTACCTTCCCGAGGGTAGCGCTACTACCAACGGAACTTGTCAACGTGAGTCTCAATTTACACCCGGAAGATTCACTGACGCCTCGTAGAATGCGACTCATCCTGCACCAGCTGTGTCGGCACCTCAACGACCTGCACTTCCTGCCCGACCTCTCTTGCCGCTCAAGCCGGATCGTGTATCTCGTCCTCTTCTTGCCCGTCCGACACCATCTACCAAAACGGGACTTGTACCCCTTGTCCTCTCGACTGCACGACGTGCTCTTCCACGTCCACTTGCGCATCTTGCCCTACCGACCGCCCAGTCTTGAAAGACGGCAGGTGTCTGCCTTATTGTGCCAAGGACACCTACTGGGACTCGGGTTTGGGGAGCTGTCAGGCGTGTGACTGGACTTGCGCCAGCTGCGTAGGCAGTGGGAATGGAATGTGCAGTACCTGTCCTGACGGGTCGATGCTCAAGTCGGGCGAGTGTGTGTCGGTGACTTGCAACTCTGGAGGGTTCGCTTCGGGGTTTGGTATCTGTCTGTCAGATTTCCTCTCTACCAACACCGAAAAGTATCTCTTTTTTATCTTTCTCGCCATACCGGTCGTCGCAATCGCGCTCGCTGGCTGGTGGTACGTCCGACGAGAACGCCGGAAAACGCGGGAAGCCACCAAAGAGTTTGGCGACAAGCTCGACCAAAGCCAAGTCAACCGACGGTTGGCAGCACTCCGACTTGAAAAGGCCTTTGGTTTTGACAGAGTGTCTGTGGGTAGGGGCGGCGACAGATCTTCTATCCGTCAAGTCCCCGACACCAAGCAAAAGTCGCGCCTTCGCGAGCTTCTTCTTCCGTCCAAAAAGCGCCAATCCGATGTCGAAATGGCCAGTATGGACAAGAAGAGCGGCAACTGTGCACCAGATAGGGATAGGCGGTACGACTCTTGGGGTGTACCCATTCTGCATACACCGAAAGAAAGGGACAGCTGGAGTTGGGCAGCGCCTCCTCCCTATGTCCCTTCTGCTGGAATGCCTAGTCCTGTAGACGCCAAGGAACAACCGGAAAAGGTCAAGGATAAGCGGGACTCGCTCGATTCCATTCCCACGCCGACTTTGCAGCGATTCCCCTCCGCGCCCCGGACCCCAGTGAGAAAGAGCTCGGGGCTAGGCTCGACGGTGATCCATTCAATGTCTTCTCCTTCGCCCGGGATCCAAAGGGAGCGCGGCCTGATGCCACCACCTAGACCGGGAATGAGTCGCCGAGGGTCAGAGAATAGTTTGTCGTCGGATGAAGAGGAAGGCGAGGCAGCAAGGTTTGGCAAGGAAAGAGAGAGAGAGGGGAAAGAGAAGGGTTTATTGAGATGGAGCATGGCGTACAAGGGACAGGACAACAAGGGGACCAGTGAGGTAGATGTGGATGATAGGCTGAGAGATCTCTGGCCAGCTTTGGGAGGCAAGCCCCGGGAGAGAGAAGGATATATCTAGAACTAGAGACAACTATTGTAACGCTACCTATAATCAGACCCGATGTACATCTTGTTTGTGGCCTCCAAACTATTGTTACATGACTCATACACCCAAAAATGACAAATGCGAGAACGTTCACGACTACTACCCCCATATATCAAATATATTCCGGCGCTCTCGTGTCCATCTTTGTTTCTGTTGCCTCGGTCCAGGTCTGCATGTCTTCAATAGGCAGATTGTCGAGAACTTGTAATGTCTATGACATGAGTTAGTAGAGTCAGAGCCGCCAAAGGCTTACCTGATCAAGCTCGACAGCTCCATCCCCGACGTTCTCTTCAAGTCGCTTGATAAGCGCCTGCTTCTGCAGCATTGATGCGTAACGCTCTTGGCAGTCTTTGTGCAGCTAAGGAATTAGGTCAACGTCCAATCGGGATGACTACACCGACTCACTTCCAAATACTCGTCTCTCAGCTTGGTATAGGCCTCATCGTATACAGGCAAGATTGTAGCAGCTACTAGAGCATGCGGGGACACGTCCGGTCTAGTCTTGTATCAGCCCGCAGCCAGCAACAATTCGAGCGACTGACCTCCATGCGTCTGGTCTATTTGAGCTTTCCCCGTTGGCTTTGCACGTTGCAGCATATTCCCTGGCCTCCATGTCGACCTCATCAATCAGCTGCATCGCTGGGCCGGCCTTGTAGTGAGTCAAGAGCTCATGAGCATTTGCCTGAGTGTGGTCAGAAAAGCTGTACACTGGCGTAGAGGACATACCAGGATATTGTCGCGCATAGCCTGAGACGCCGAGAGGTATGTATTTTCGACAGCTTTCGGCATCTTTTTGGAGAGCTTGGGAAAGCAATCTCTCATCTGGTCGGCACTGTATAGGGGTCAGCTTGCCACCGGCCCACCTTTGCGAAACCAAACTCACGTCCATCTCTGAGCAGCGGCCATGACTGCACGATCCAACATCTCCATCGACAACCTATACCGTCTGCCATACAGTAGGTGCTCGGGCGGCACATCCGCATCCAGCTGTATAGGGGGCGGAGGCGGAAGAGGGTCGGTATGACGTCGTGATGAACGCGAGCGAGGAGTTTTTGGTTGGGCAGGCTGTGAGTTTTGGGACGATGATTTCGCCTGGGGAGGTGCATGGGACCGCCTAGGACGTGATGTTGGAGGGGTGGTAGGCTGACTAGGGCCGGATGGCTGTGAGAGCTCGGCAGAGGCATCCACCTCGGTATCTGGCTCCTGCATTTCCACATCGCCACCTTCATCCGCCTGGACATGACCGAACGAATTGTCCTCTGTTTCTGCGATTGCCGACCCATCCATAGTCTCTTCGTGTACAACGATCGCAGGAGCGGGTCGTATGGGGCGGTCGTCCACGATGAGACTGTGATGTGGCGCCGGTTCCTCTGTTGTATTTCCCTCCTCCAAGACTTGATCCTGGACGCCTGGCTCTTCTTGTGGCTCGTTGTCGGTCTCGGGCTGGGCATGTAGCTGTGGGTGTTGAGGAGGCTGGGATGGAGATCTAGCTGGAGGGGAGCGCATGACGCCCGGGTTGCGGGGTGCGAAGGGGGAGGCACCCTGGGGAGGGACAGGGGCGGGTGCGAGGTCGTGGGCGCGCTGGGGGGGAGTGCGGGCGAGACCCATGGTGGGAGATGCGTGAGACGGAGATGAAAGAGGTCGTTGTTGTTGAATTATTGAATTGAATTGTTGTTGTGTTTGTTTACCGACGCGTCTGTTACGTAACCCCTCGTATGTATGGTGTCCCTTCAGCTGTGCTGCACTCTTCTCTATCATTCCCGCCTGCCCATACTACAGCATACTGGCACAGGAGGCCCTGACCATGTACGCCCCGCCCACCCCTCCACGACCCCGCTGACGTCCCCAGGCCCGACTCGAATCCCTCCGACAGCGGCTCGCGCTCCTCCTCTCCCGGCGCAGGTGTCCCTCATCGCAGGGTCGTTTCTGGCAGCCTCAGAGACCGCATAGCCAAGTTCAACAACCCAGACGCACCGCCACCCGTGCCCAAAAAGTACACCCCACCCGCACCTGTACAGCGTGGCTTGATCGGCAACCGCATCCCTTCCCTCGACCCGAAGACAGCTGGCATTCTTGGGAAAGCCCCCGAGAAGCGCGTCGTCGAAAACAAGGGACTGATTGGAAATCGGATTCCCAGCCTCAGCTCTGGAGGATACAACCCGCTCCTCTATCAAAACACCGGTTCCAGCAGTGGCAAACCTGCCCCGAGATCCGCCAGCCCTGCTGGCTCTGTCGACTCGAGCGCGGCGTCAGCCACAGTCGACAGTAACGTCTCTCCAATTACTTCCCGCTCATCAACACCCCCATCTTCACCCGGCACTGCTGGCAATGCCCCTTCCAACCTTGTCGCCTCTACATTGCCTTCCCTCAATGTCGACCTCGGCGCCTCTACCCCTTCTTCCACTCGCGCCGAGGCCGGGGACACTATGTCCGAGCTGGCATTGTCCGTGCCCTCCACACCTATAGGCGGTGACGCGCCACCTCTGTCTGCGGCAGAGTACGACCTCGTACCTCCAAACCTCAAATTGGCGGCTTCAGGTCAAGTGCCGAACCCAATGGCGCGCGGACTGTCCCAACAATCTGTGGGTGTAACGCCTAGTATCTCTTCCTCGCTTGCTACGCAGTCTGTAGGCAGCGAGGAGGAGAATCAGATGATGGCCGACGTCAGCGGAGTGAGCACGCCCATGGGTACACCAAAGGCAGAGAGGCAAGAGCTTCGTGAGGGCAGCGTCGCGGATGACGATGAGCTGAAAGACCTTGCGGCAAAGACGGAAAACCTTGGGATCGTCGAAAACACTCCTCCTGGTGCCGAGTCTGTGCCTGCTACACCTACCAAAGAGATTCCTGAGCCTATATCGGCAGAGACCCCCACTCCTTTTTCCGATCCCTCTACCGAGTCAGCCCAGAGAGATTCTCCCGTCTCTGGCCCTCCCACTCCGAAGTCTACTGCTTCCGACCCCAACAAGGCGCCTGATCTCCACTTGCTCAAAGCTGGCGCCCTCAGCTCTCCAAGCCCTAGGTCTTCTACTTCTCCTGAGCAGGCCCAAGGCGGTATCGACGAGATGGTCAGCGCGGCTTTGGCCCAGAACCTGGACGAGTATACTGTGGCTGGCAACGAGAAGAAGGTGCAAGGCGGCAGGGCTGGGCAGTATATGGAAGATGTCGAGCATCCTGACGAGGTGGTCTTGCCTGCTGGTGATGCTACTTCTGAGGCTGGCGAGTCTGAAAAAGAAGAGCTAGAGGTGAAGGACTTGTCGAGTCCCCAGGAGAAAGTGCAGGTGGATGAGGAACCGGTCGAGCGTGATGTCCCCGCTGTAGATCAGGCTCAGAAGACAGAGCAGGAGCAGTCCGAGGCTGCTGAGAGCGAGATTCCAGATGTTGTAGGGAACGAGTCTGAACAACCTGACGCGGTGCTCCCTGCATCCCACGTCGTGGCTGCCGAAGAGAGCCCCGAGGTCGACCTCAAGGAGGCGGAAGAAAAGCCCAGCGTTGTGGCTGCGGAGGAAAGTGTACCGGATGTCTCTGACAAGAGCCAGGGTGTAAATCAGCCAGACGAGGACAAGGTGCCCGAGCTACACGACGATGTCGTTGCTGGAAACCCCAGTGACGAGGACGTGAAAGTCGCTGCACCCGAAGAGAAGGCTCAGCCGTCCGATTTGGAAGACGCCGAGGAGGAAGCGTCTATCAAGACGGACGAAGAAGCGGCTGAGGTGCCCGAGGTTGTGAATGTCGGTAAAGAGGTCCCAGCCATCCAAACCGCGAATGCGTCTTTGGAGTCGGAAGACCCATCAGAACCCAGGCCTGTCCAGACAGATGATGGAGCATCTGAGCAATCCGAGGTGGTCATGGGGAAAGCGCCTTCAGCTCAAAGCGACGAGACGCCTATCGTTCCAGAGACTCTTACTGAGCAGCCTTCAATTGCCGCGTTGGGTCTCGAAGCCAAGGCAGAAGATGTCGCAGGGAAACAGCTTGAATTTGAGCCTGCTATCGTCAAGCCAGAGATCGATCCAGAGGCCAAAGCGGACGCGCCCAAAGACGAGGAGACACCTGTGGTGAAAGAACCCTCCTTTCCCTCCCCACCGGCCGCGGACCCCGACATTGAAGACCCTATCCCTTCTGCCCCTGAATCCTTGACTGGCGCATCCCTCCTTATCCCTACCCCTACTTCCCCCGTTGGAGATGTCCCAGAGACACCTATCGACAACTCGATGCTTAAATACTTTCCCGAGGTGCCAGATGAGCAGAAACCGCGGGTCGAGGTGCATGTTTCCAGTCCGGCTGTGACGCCTGCGAGAACGAAAAGGACGTCAGAGACGCAAGCGACGAGTCCGCAGAGTCCCACGGTGAATCTCCCTGCGTCTGGCAGCGCGAAATCCTTGAAGGAGGTCTCGAGCCCTGTGAACCTTCCGGGGCAGAGCAAATCACTCAACACGTCCACCCCTTCAAAATCTTCCCCCGCCGAGCTGTCACAGCAGCTTGATGCGCCCATGTTAGATACCACCCCATCTCAGACAGACAAGTTAGCGAAACGAAACTCGACGAGGAGGAGCCCGAAGAGTCCTTTGTTGGATGACGAAGACCCAGGAGACTTTGAGCCGGGAGAAGGGTGGGCTACCGTGATCAAGTGAGTCTTGTCTTGTCGTGTTTCGTGCAGGACTAATTTAAACAAGAGGCAGAACCTGATATAAGGCGAGGGCTCCGGTAGAGCCAGTGGAAGTGAATGGGATGGTGTTGAAGGGAGTAGGGGTGATGATCTTGTATCTCTGGATCGTGGGGAGTATCTACGGATGATGACGGGGACGTATTTTGACGAGCTTTTCTCATGAGGTGGCAGAGACTTTCTTGGTTCATTTCTTCTTTTGTTTCCGAGCATTATTCTTCCACAGCAAGGCATAGTGTACCATCATGGAATGTAGAAAATTCACGATCTCATTTGTTCATTCGCAGCGACTCATAGTGTCCTTTGTACGATTATTCTTGAATAGCAAACGTCGCTTCTTGTGCTCGCTCAATCTCCTCTTGGTCATTTGCTTGCCCGACCCACTCGTGCAACCACCTCAAAACCTCATACTACGCCCGCGTCAGTTCCACATCCTGCTATGCAATATATGTCACTCACATGCCACTTGATAGAGTTGTGTGGCTTGAGCACCCAGTGGTTCTCATCAGGGAAATAGACGAAACGGCTGGGGACGCCTTGTCTATTGCGCATGTCAGTTCTTCCTCATTAGAAGAAGCTTGTCAAACGTACACCTGGAGAGCGGTGAATGCTCCAAGTCCTTGAGAGTTTTCGAGTCGGTAATCTATGGCCACCTTAGCAATCATCAAAAAAGACACAAGACACGCACCTTTGCCGCCTTGGATGACGAGCTCGGGCGTAGTCCACTCGATAACATGATTGACTGGGCTCCACTTTTCATACCCCGCCTTGTTGTTGAGAGGTGTCCCAGCAAAGTCCCTACACCACGTCAGCTCGCGCCCGATTAGCCTCAGGCAGACGTACCGAGTCGGGAAATAAAGCTCTTCGGTTGAGAAATACGTGGTGACAGTGTCAAACACACCATCATGGCAGACGAGAGCCTTGAACCCAAAGTGATCGTTGTGGCCGTTGATCCAGTTGATCATGTAGCCGCCATAAGATGCGCCGAGAGCGGTTGTGCGTTCTGGGTCAATCTCGGGATATCTGGAAAGGGCGTGTTGGTAACCCGCCAAGAGGTCTTTGAAGGGCTCTGCAATTACTCGTCAGTATGCCCGACACATTGAATATCTTCCACTCACTGCCTCCCCAGTCACCTTGAATAGCATCGGTAAACTCTTGTCCATACCCTGTCGAACCGGTGGGGTTGATAGTCACCACGAAATAGCCTTGTGCTGCATAAATCGCGGGGTTCCATCTCGTAGACCAACTGTCCTCCCAGGCACCTTGAGGGCCGCCGTGGATGAGGAATGCTAGGGGGTAGGACGCATTCTGGTCGGGTTTCCAGCCATGGGGTTTGATGGCCCATCCCATGACATCTTTGCCTTCGGCACCGGTGAACCAGAATTCTTCGCCAGTATAGTTGTCGAGTCGGCCGGCGAGATGGGCAGCAGACCAGGAAGTGAGTCGGCGCAAAGGATCAGAGGGAGGAGGAATCTTGTCACCATCACCCTCTGATGGGGCGTCAGTAGGCAAGGTGAACAAAAAGTCATCTGAAGGGGACACGAGCGATTGCCTGGCGAGTAAGAGCGTCGACTCGGAGAGCGGTGTGAGGGAGGTGGTGGAGCCATTGAAGAGGAGGGGGGTCGGAAGATGGTTGGGGTGAGAGATGTGGTAGGGGAGGGTACGTCCATGGTGTTCAGAGAGGAGGTAGAGAGAGTCGGAATCAGTCGACCACTGTGTCTCGTCAGTCCAAGTTGCAACATCTGAAAACGACATACAGAGATAGCGCTAGGACTCCTATCCCAAGCCTCGGTCCACCTCTCCGTCTTGCCGCTTTTCAAAGTGTACACGACTACCACTCGGCGATCACTCTCATACCCATCCTTGTTCATCTCCAACCAGGCCAACTTGCTCTGATCAGGAGAGAATGCAAGGGACGAGATGGCGCCGTGCACATGAGGGGTAATGTTGCGAGGACGGGAAGAGGTCAAGGAAGAGAGGTATATATCTTGACGGGTGTGTGTGGCCGGGGATAGGTATGGGGGTTTGAGAGCGAGGGCTATCTGCTTTGAAGAGAGAGCGTAGGAGGAGGCGTCGATAGGGTCGGTCTGGGAAAAGAGGCCGGTACCGTTGAGTACGTTGACAAATTCGTTTTCACTTTTGACGCCTTTCTTACCCACAAGACCTTTGAGGCTGACGGTACCGAGTGTCCATACCTTGCCAGGGACCCTCCAGGTGTCCCAATGTCGGACAAAAAGCTCGTCATAGACCTGAGCGCTGTCGCGTCTGCCTTGGTAGGTCTGATCATGGAACGCAGTGTGTGTGAATGACCCGTCTGCCCATACTTGGCCGGTAAAAGCTAAAGTGTTGGTGTTGGGCTCGTATTGAAGCGACGTAGGGTTTACGCCCGCAGGAAAAGTCAAGAGCTTGGTGGGTTGTTGCGGGTGCTTTTGATTGTGACCAGCACCCGATTCCCGAGTCTCTAGGTCGATAGAGTACGCGTAGAGCGTGGTATCGTTGAGATAGGCCAGCGTGGTGGGGCTGAGCCAGAGAAAGTCTGTCGCTGCTGGTGGTGTGGTGTTGAAGAGGGAGAGGGGCGGGGTGGCGACTGTGGCATTGAGAGGGAGGAGATAGACTGCGCGGGAGATGTGGTCTGTGGCTGGATGCCACTGGTCGACGACGGCGAGGGCATGGCGTGCGTCTGGGCTGGCGATGGCGGGGGCTGGCCGGGGGGCTGCGAGCAGGTGCTCGGGGGCGAACACGGAGGCGAGGGCGGAGGACGCCGCTGCGAGGGCGAGGAGGCGCTTCATGGTGCGTGGCAGGAGAGACTCGACTCGACGAGATGAGATGGAGGAGACCCGGCGGCCGACGCGACGCGACGCTGAGCTCGGCCCCTCTGTCCCCCGGTCTGTGCACTGCAGAATGAGATTGACTCACAGCAGCGGGATGTGCCGCCCCTCTCTCTTCTCTCTCCATCCCCGCCATGCCCCCCCTGAGGAGACAGCCCGCCTTCGGGGACCTCCACCCAGCCAACAGGTCCCCAGACACCCCTACCATCGTCCTCGGCTCTCGCAGGCCCTCCCTGGGCTTTGAAATCTCCACAGTCCCCCTGCTGAACCATCCCAAACCTCCTCGGCGCTTTCTGCAGTCCGACTATCCTTCATCAGCAGGCCCGAGCGACCTGCAGCCCTCCCACCCTATGGTTCGCGAGTACACATCGATGGGCTGGAGTTGTCACCCATTGTCCCCGCCCTCGCCTGTCGAGTCCCCAAAGAGGCCAGACGGGCTGCCCTTGGGCGAAAATGGACTCGAGAGGACAAAGAATGGCAATTCGAAATCACCATGGCACATGATGACCCAATCACCCCACCGAGCGTCCCCTGTTTCTAGCTCCATACGCGACCCCGGACCCGCTCCCCAGACCTCTCTTCCAGAGCCAGCGTCTCGCGCAATCAATCTGGGACATACAGCCTGGCCCTCTATATCCTCCGATGGATTGTATTCCCCTGTTTGTGGCACACCATCCCATAGCAACCGCTCTTCCCTCTCCGCCCCTGGGTCCATGTCGGACCATGGAGACATCCAAATAATGCGAGCGACCAGCGCGCAAATGCAGGTTCGCCCACCCATGACATTTCTCGCAAATGCCTCGGATGTGTCCATTCTGGCACCTTCCTCGCTGGGTATAGGATATGCCTCTTCAATAGAAGACTCGCCCGGGAGTCTGCCAGAGAGCTTGGAGGCCGAGTGTGTGGATTTGACCGAGAGTGGGTTAAGGGTGTCACAAGCGAGCAACAAGACAGACAAGCGGTCGTCCTGGCAGAGCCGCAGTCCGTCTCCCGACACTGTCGAAGCTCTCACCGCTGTCGCTGGACAGCCGGCCGAGGCGTCCCAAGCAGACGTCATCTCGCGAAATGCCCACTTTATTCCCCCGGCACACCAACAGGGTGCTCTACAAATGAACACTGGTCCGAGACTGAAAAGAGCGCACACTTATGATAATCTGAAAACCGTCTATGCTCTGGCGTCTTTTCCCGGAGGACCTATTGAAGTCCAGCCCCAGCTAGAGCCCCCGGCAGACATGACCCCACCAAGGCTCGGTACGCCCATCGACCTCGCCCCTCGTTCTGCATCCTCATCCCGCACCTCTGCTGAACCCAGCATGTTTCACTCTCCTCCTCGCCGATCGTATGCCCCCTCTTTCCGTCCGGTATCCCTGTGCTCCCCTTCAGATGCTATCGAAGAGCTCCTCCCGGTCTCGCCCTTCCAATCGCCCGAGACTCTTAATCGGAGCAAAGGCAAACGGTCGCCATTCCAGCAGACAAGAGAGAGTCTCAAAGGAATCTTGCTGCCTTTTAAAGGGCGGTCTCTCATCCAGACATTCGACAAGGCCGAGCATGCGCAGATTGATAAAAGCAAACAGTCGGCTCTCAAGTCTAGAATTTCGGGCCCACTCGAAGTGTATGGAATCAAAACGGATGTGAGAGAGAGAAAGAAGAGTGAGCGAGAATGGCGAGAGGAAGTGTTGCGGGATGTTGTGGGAAGGAGCCTGAGCTCGCAGTTTAGGTTGGTGGAAGAAACGAAAAGACAGTTTGGCGGGCCCGAGGGTGTGCCGAGGATAAGCAGCGGGAGCTTCAAGTCACGACTGCCCATTCCCGGGGCTTTGCTAGCCGGTGTCACACCCAACCCGTCTGTACCCGGAGAGAAAATGGATAGCAGTCGAAACCTACAAGCAGTGATGGGAGAATCGCCTGTGCCCCAAAAGGCTGTCGAGTAAGTGGTGCCATTGTCGACCTTGTGTTTTGGCTGATCAGGGATATAGTTTCAAAACACAAAGGCTACCAGGCAAGGGACGACCGACTTCTGCGCCTTTGCTAGCTGCTTGGTCTCCTGCTCGGCGCTCTAAATCTGGACGTACGCTCTCAGAGCGGATTAATCCGTCGATCGTGATCAATCAACCTTCCCCTAAACGCCAACTTGCGAGTATGCCAGCCTCCCGCCCGGCCTCACCTTTGCCAGCTCCCAGGCTCGAGAGGAGCAAAAGCGGCAGAATCTCTCGGAGGGCGAGTATATTAGACTTTTTCAAAAAGGACAAGGCCAAGGAGAGAGAGGTGCACCAGGTCTCGCCGAAAGCGAAAAAGATGCCGAGTACTACATTTACCATCACGGCTAGTATTCGATCGTCATTTTTGGCTCTTACAAAAAAGCACCACGTAGGCGATCCGGCCCAGCCTCAACCCGAGGAGCGTAAATCTCCCCGCTCTTCAAGCGCCACACCTCCCTCTACGATCCCTCTTCGTACCCCCATCCATACCAACCCTGACTCTGTCTTTCGCCTGCCGCTTTCAAAGGCCGAGTCGAGTTTCGGGTTGACCTACCATCTGCCAGAGGTGGAAGGCGGTCGGCCTCTACTGGAAGAGCTGATGGCAAGGGATGAAGCGTTGGGGGCGCTAGAGGGGAGAAAGAAAAACAGGGGAGAGACGTATGGGATGCCGGGGATGAATAAGGTGTTGGAGTGGAGAAAAGATCTCGAAGAGGAGTCGTAGAGTAATTCTTTTCCTGTACATAATGACCGTCTTGGGCCCTTTTGTATTTTCATGTTTTAACGAATTCTATACGCTTACGATACTTTTGCTAGTAATGCATACAACGACATGTGATGAGATGATCTAAAGAGTCTATTGAGTCTTGTTAGAAATCTCGCTGCTGGTTGGGTCATCGGTAGCGTCGGGAGCCTTGACCTTGTAGTCTGATTCGACCAGACCGGCAAAGTTGTCGGTCTCGGACTTGAAGGTAAAGACTTTGGACTCGGCATTGCCCCAGGGCTATGCGTTATCAGCACAGTCCTTCTCCACGAGCTGAAGGCGTACTCTGGCAGACTGCTGTCCATCGGCAATGTATCTCAAAATATCCCCGTGCGCCACCACAACGATTTCCTTCTCTGGTCTCTCTCTCAACCATACCCGCACTTGTCTGGCGCGCTCTATCGCGTTTCGAGGGTCAAAGATACCCTGTTTGGAGGCGTACTCGGGGGAGAGGCGGGAGAAATCAAGAGAGGAAAAGATACCGTCGTTGGAGGCTTTGAGAGCGGATAAGGGATGAGTCGGTGTGTCACAGGGCCAGCTAACGAGTCTGTCAGCCTTGCAAATGGGCAAGTGAAATCACGCACTGGCCGACTTCTTGTAAGAGGTCGAGTATGATGACAGGCTTTCCGTCCTTTTCGAGCCGGAATTTCAGTCCAGGGTAGCCGAGGAGCATGGTCTCCAGTGGCCTCCGGAGCTATACACCCGTCAGCGGTGTGGGAAAATGAGGCAGGGGTGTGGACTTGCACACGAGGATACAAGCAGGTCGGCAGTCTTTTGTACGCCATTCTTGGTGATTTCGTTGAGCTCTCGGGACTGGTCTTGTCCCAGCTTGGTCAATGGCGCATCAGCGACTGAGAGGGGTTAGGATATGAAAAGCTGCTGTGCCGGGACATACTCTGGTAGTCGTTGGCCACGCTGAGCACGCGATGTCAGCGATGTGGAGCGAGGGGTGGACTGGGCTTACTTGTGCTCGGCCTGGGCGTGGCGGGTGAGGTGGATGCGCTTCTCTGTGGCGGGGGCTGTGCGGGACATTGTGGTGGATTACGGGCTCAGCAGGGAGATGAGAAGATGACTTCAGAGATGTGGCAGAGATGTGGTGAGCATCGATCGTCATTGTGCATTGTGAGATCGGAGACCGCCGCAGAGATGTGGCCAGTGGCCGAGTAGTTACGTCACCGTATTCTTCTCGCTTGAGGCCTCCACTTTCACAGCTGGATAAGCACTCTGGGCCGTATACGTATACATGTGAAATTGCCCATGCCCCGCCTCCCCTCTCCCACCGCCGCCCTCCTAGCCCGCACCGTTCTCCCCAGGACCCCCCTCCGCCCACTCAGCTTCTCCACAACAGCCCGCACTCCACAACTAACACGCACCATGAAGGCCATTCTCATCAAAGGCGGCACCGGCCCCGCCGACAGCCTCTATCTTGGCCAGGAGCCCACACCAGAGCCCAGCAAGGGCGAGGTCCAAGTCAAGGTACACCCGAGTCAACTACCCAGGCATCGCTGACACTGTTCCCAGATCAAGAACTTTGGCCTCAACAGGATGGATATACTCCAGAGAGAGGGCAAATACCCACTCCCGCCTCAAGCATCAAAGACCATCTTGGGTGTCGAGTATTCTGGAGTAGTCATCCAGCTGGGGGAGGGATCCACAAAGTGGAAAGTAGGCGATGAGGTGTTTGGCCTGGCGTATGGAGTGAGCGGCTCCCTTGGCTTACATCCAGACGCACTGACTTGTTGACAGGGCGCTTATGCGGAATACATTGTCTCTCCAGAGATCATGCTTTTGGCCAAACCCGAAAAGCTGAGCTGGGTAGAGGCCGCTTCGATCCCCGAGGCTTGGATGACTGGTGGGTACACCGTCATCACAGTACGCATGTGCTGACAAGGACGCAGCTACCCAGGCTCTGACGCTTGAGGCGCCTCTCAAAGAAGGGCAAAACGTTCTCATCCATGCCGGTGCTTCGGGCGTGGGTCTTGCAGCCATCCAGATCGCTTGTAGGTGTGGTTTGCTCATGTCAGTGAAACTGCTCACCCGATGACAGTGCATGCTCTTGGAGCTGGTAAAGTTTTCACGACCTGTGGCTCGGACGAAAAGGTCGCTTTTTTGAAGAACCTCGGGCATTCCGACCGTCTGCACGTCTTCAATTATAAGACTCAGAGTGGGTATCCATTTTACATGACACGCGTCCGCTGACATCCATCAGACTTTGAGGAAGAGATCAAAAAGATTGACCAGGGTGTGGACCTCATTATCGACTTTGTTGGCACTCAATACTATACCCAGAACATCAATCTCCTCCGCCTCGATGGGACCCTCTACTACCTTGCCTTCCTGTCGGGCGCCAAGTTCCCCGAAGGCGCCAGCATTGCACCCATCTTGGGCAAGAGGTTGACCCTGAAGGGATCTACGCTGAGGTCAAGAAGCGCAGAGTACCAGTATGGATTGCTCAAGACGTTTGAGGGCAAGATACTGCCAAAGATACTGGACGGAACTATGCAGGCAAAGGTGCACGATGTGAGTAGCTGGCCGCAATGTGGGATGCGGCTGATGGATATTGCAGGTGTATCAATGGACTGATGTCAGTGAAGCCCACAAGGCCATGGAGGCAAACAAAAATAGCGGAAAGGTGAGTCATCATTCCATGGCATAGGCGCACAGCTAATCCATATGCTAGATTGTCATCGAGATCAAGGAGTAGGGCATTCACACGTTCCAGTAAGAAGGGTAGAATCTTGTTGATGCGGGCTGTCGGTCACAACATCTCGTATCAATATCATGTATCCTTTTCGACCATATCTGACGACGATTGATACCGCTTCATCAGCTACCCATGCCTACCTATTTGTCGCGCTGCAAGTCATGATGTTGAAGGAGAGTGGAGCCGTTGCGACCGGCGAACGATTCAATGTCTACTCGTGCTCCATCGTATCAGCATCCAAATGCGCCCATGCCAAGCAGCAGCACTGCTTAAAGACCATGTAGCCGATATATCGGCCTCCTGCTGCTCCTGCCGCACCATGCACCACCAAGAAGAATCCGCATGGCTTACGTAATTCGCCGAGATTCGCCAAGTCGAGATCTGCGTTTGACTCGGTATGCCTGCTCATAATTTGCGCGGATCTCTTTCTCTTACCCGCAACACCAAAACATCTCTTCAAAATGCCCATGCTGTCAGTTCTCATCCCGCATGTGATGTGCTCCGCTGACTCTGCCCAGGGCCGACCCATCCAAGCGTTATGCCGCTTTCAAGCCTGTCCCGTTCCCCAACCGCACTTGGCCCGACAAGACTCACAAGAAGGCCCCCATCTGGCTCAGTACCGATCTGAGAGATGGAAACCAAAGTCTTGCCAACCGTCCGTTCTTGTTTGTTCAAGCTTGTCCCCTGCTGACTTTAATTCTAGCCATGACGAATCAGCAAAAACACAGATTCTTCAGACATCTTGTCCAGATCGGCTTCAAAGAGATCGAAGTGGCCTACCCTGCCGCTTCAGAGACCGACTTTGCTTTTGTGCGAGAGCTGATTGAGAACAAGGAAGTCCCTGACGACGTGTGGATTCAAGTAAGCGAGAATGCGGTGACATGCTCAGCATGCTAATGCCCTAAATAGGTTCTTACGCCTGCCCGCGCCGACCTCATTACAAAGACATTCGAGGCCGTTGCCGGCCTCAAGAATGTCATTGTCCACATGTACAATGCTACATCATGCCTGTTCCGCGAAGTAGTCTTCAATGCCGACCGCGAGCAGACCATCAAGTGAGATTCCTCCTACTGGAACGACATCAGCTAATGTCCAAATCAGGCTCGCTCGAGAACATACCCAGCTCGTTCGAAAACTTTCTGAACAGTACGCTGCCTCGCACGGAACAAATTTCCGATACGAATACTCTCCAGAAACCTTTTCTCAGACCGAGACACCCTATGCGGTCGAAGTGTGTGAAGCGGTCAAGAAGGCTTGGCTCTCGGGAGAGTCAAGTGTATGGGCGGACGGCAGAAAAGAAGAGAGGATCATCTTTAACCTTCCCGCCACTGTTGAGGTCGCCACCCCCAACTGTTTTGCCGATCAGGTGAGTCAAGCGAGTTTTGAGGGACAGGCTAACCCGAAACCAGGTTGAAATATTCTGCAACAGCATCTCGGAGAGAGAAAAGTGCATCATCTCCCTCCACACCCACAACGACAGAGGATGCGCTGTAGCTGCCGCCGAGCTCGGTGTTCTTGCCGGTGCTGACCGAATCGAGGGAACTGTCCTTGGCAACGGTGAAAGAACCGGTAATGTCGACCTCGTCACTCTTGGCCTCAACTATTACTCTCAGGGTATGACACCAAACCTCGACTTTTCAGACATGTTTTCAATCATCGACACTGTCACAGAGTGTACTGGTCTCCCAGTACACCCCAGACACCCTTACGCGGGAGAGCTCGTCTTTACCGCCTTCTCTGGTAGTCACCAGGATGCGATCAAGAAGGGATTCGAGGCGCAGACCAAGAGGGACCAGGCGGGCGATCTGGTGTGGAGCATGCCTTACCTCCCTATCGACCCAGCCGATGTCGGTTGCACTTATGAGGCTGTCATCAGAGTCAACTCTCAATCTGGCAAGGGCGGGTAAGTAGGATCGTGTGCACGAGATGATTCAGCTGACGTTCCCTGTAGTATCGCATACATTGTCAAGTCTGCTCTCGCTCTCGACCTTCCCCGCCGTATGCAAATCGCTTTCTACAAGGTTGTCCAGGACAAATCTGAGGCTACCGGCAAGGAGATGACCTCCAAAGACATCACTGGGGCTTTCCGCCACGCTTACCACCTCGGTGGCTCCATCTATGACGGTCGCCTTATCCTCAAGGGGTTCACTGCTACCGACCTCCGAGGCTCTCGCCCCGGGTCTATCACTGGCACACCGGACCTTTCACCCACTAGGTCGAGGTCTCAGACTAGGCATATGGCGCCTCTTAGTCTCGCCCAGGGCGTAAACAACTCTGCTGAGCCCAGTCCTGACAGGGGCCTTGACACCAACCTTCCTCAGATGTCCAAGCGCCTCACGGCCAAGGTCGTTGTCGACGGCAAGGTGCACGAGGTCATTGGTGAAGGAAACGGTCCCCTCTCTTCATTCCTCAATGCCCTCGAAAGCGATCTCGGCATCGTACTCTCCATCCGAGAGTACACTGAGCACGCTGTGGGTGCTGGATCTGATGTCAAGGCCGCTACCTACGTGGAGCTCATTCCCGTTGATGCTGATGCCAAGGACAAGACCCAGGGAGGATTCTGGGGTGTCGGTGTCGACGCAGATATCACCGCGAGTGGTCTCAAGGCTGTTGTCAGCGCTGCCAACAATTTCCTGGGCCAAAATGCCATTCCCAAGAGCGCGTGAAGGGGGTCTAGAGGTCTGGGAGGGTACATGCAGTGATTGATGGCGTATGTATTCTATACAAATCTTGCTCATGAATCTTCTTATGAACATATCTGGGCCATCGGCGCGAAGCTCAGTATCGATGGTGCCTACTCACGCGTATGTACATGTGTTTTCTCGCCGCCACTTTACATATTGGCCAAGTTGCCGGTGATCGGGTATCTGTGCACTCGGCCTACACACTCTACAGCCCTACAGGCGATGATGCAAAGCAGCTTGATTAGAGATGATACGCTGACTCAAATGAGCGCGTGCCTTTAAATTCCCACTTTTCGACTTTTTGTACTCGGCCATTCAGCGTTCGTCAATTATATATTCACACTCCTCCCCTTTACTTTTTCACCCCCTCGCAAACCCACCGCCATGTCCGACCAACGCACTGCCACCGTCTCCAGAAATACAAGCGAAACGAGCATCACTTGCACCATCGACCTCGACCATGTGCCCGGTGTCACCAAGCAGGTGATCGAAGTCAGCACCGGTATTGGATTCCTCGACCACGTAAGGCCATCACTTTGCAGAATACAACTGGAGCTAACAGCGGATGCAGATGTTTACAGCGCTCGCCAAGCACGGGGGCATGTCCCTCCAGATGAAGTGCAATGGGGACCTCCACATTGATGACCACCACACTGCCGAAGATTGTGCTTTGGCGCTTGGTGCGGCCTTCAAGAAGGCTTTGGGAGAAAGGAAGGGTATCAAGAGATATGGATTTGCGTATGCCCCTCTAGACGAGGCAAGTAGAATGTGCAATCTTGAGAATAGCAAGCTGATGTGGGCGTAGTCTTTGGCTAGGGCGGTGATTGACATTTCTTCCCGGCCATACTTTATGTGCCACCTCCCTTTCACCCGTGAAAAGGTTGGAGACTGTGAGTTGAGGGCCAAGTCTTTGCAAGAGCTCGCTGACGGCTTGATAGTATCTACGGAAATGGTCTCTCACCTTCTCCAGTCTTTTGCCTTTGAGGCCGGTGTCACGCTTCACGTCGACCTCATCCGCGGAGATAACAACCATCACATGTGAGTCAAGGTATTATCTAGAGAGCTCTGGCTGATGTACCGATTCAGTGCCGAGGCGGCCTTCAAGGCTCTCGCGTTGGCTATCCGAATGGCAATCAGCCGGACCGGTGGTGACGATGTTCCCAGTACCAAGGGTGTACTTGCTTTGTAATGAAATAGGTCGAGGATGGTGATATATGCGTTATGCACTTTTCATGTCCATATATAGAACAGTCATTAAATGGGTAAAGCTACTATGTATGTACTATCACTGTTCACATGAACGGATTGCCCCTCGGCACCTGCCCTACTGAATGCTGGTATACAAATCTAGCGTTCCGGCTACCTACGAGAAGGAGGGCGAGAGTCGTCTCCACTACTCGCGTTCAGCTCGAATGCCTCCTCCTCGGTCAACTCGCGGAAGGGCGTGCCCGAGCGATTGGAAACAAGCGCAGGGCGAGTCTCGGGGGTCGACAGAGATGAAGCGCCGGCCGAACGAGTCGTGCTGTCGACGGTTTGTGGGGGAGACGAGGGTCGCTGAGAGTAGTAGCGTCCAGCCTAGAGTTGGGATGAGCAACATCGAGCAAGAACAGCATGGGACGCACCTGAAGGGTGATGAGGCCCGTAAGCATGACCGCAGCCATGATATTGCTCGTAGCGAGGTCCCTTACGGCAGTATGGAGGGCAGGGTAGGTGGGGTGACTTGAGAGGTCTTTGGGCAGGGGGTTGGGCATGAGGGCGATTGCTGAATCATGTCAGCCACGGCTTCTGTCGAGGGCAAAGACGATATCTACCTGGGAGGACCTCGTTGATCTGGTAGTAGATGATGCTTGCGATGAGCACTGCAAGACTTGTCAGCCGAGTCGTTGACACAGCAGCTCCGACATACCGAGGCTGCCTCCGTCAAAGAGGACCTCTCCACCCTTTCGGTGGTATCCCTTGTATGACCTCCCGCCGATGCTGAGGACGAGGATGATGCCGACGAGGATATATGCCCAGCCGAGGCCCCTTGAGGAGCTGGAGAGCAGCGAGTAGTATGTGATCGACTTGTGAATGGCTTCTTCGGTGACGGGTGTCTTCCAGAGGACGTTGTGGTCAGCAATCCAGTGGGTGAATGTTGTGCCTGCGGGGGGTGAGCTGGGCCGGGGGGCAGGGAGAGCGTACCCAGGAGGAAGCTGGTGGACATTGTGACGAAGCTGGTGCGCCAGACCATGGTGTATGTGGAGAGAGAGGCATATTGGAGACTCGAGTATAGAGGGTAGATGGCGGCGATGTCCGCGCTGTGATGGTATTCGTCCTGTTCTTTTGTTGCTGGTACTTGAGATAATAAGTTCGGTGTCCCCATCCGCCATGCGTCCCTCCGTCCCCCGCCCGCACGGCCCCCTCCCCCGCTCCCTCCGCACCACTGCAGCAGCCCGCCAGCCACGTGGCCCC